CCGATCAAAGGATGAGCACAGGGCTCTGGCCTTGGTTCTGTCCACAGTGACGACGCGCACCAACCTCTGGGGGCCTCCAGAAGACGGCTGCAGGGAGAAGGGACCAGTTGTCCCTGCTGTCCACACCGGGCCGGGCAGGCACCGCCCCACCGGGGGCTCCAGGCTGGTCCCTGGACCTTCAGGCTGTGCCCACAGAACAGCCCAGGCCCCGTGCCAGGGAGAAGAGAGCAGGAGAGGGTCCTGGGGCAGAGGCCCTTGCCCAGGGCACGGCAGCAAGGGCGGCCCCCACACCTCACCTGCTGTGATGGAGCCGGGGGGGCTCCTTGCTCGGGGCACTGAGTGCCTGTGTGGGGAGGACACCAGGTCCCCGCCCCCCGAGGGAGTAATGGGTGCAGATGGCCAGGCGGTGGGTGCAGGGGCACAACCAAGAAAGCACATCAGCACCTCTGCTCGCCATGGAGGGACCTGCAGGCCGGGTGCCCTGTGGGGCCCAGGGAAGGTGTGCGGGGCCCCTGGGGCAGGGACTCGCAGGGAGACCCTCAGATCAGTAGCCCACACCCTCCCAACAGGACCCCTAGCCAGGCGCCCCCCTCTGCCAGCCCAGGGAGGAAGGAGGGAGGGCCCCCCCAGGGCCCGGGCCAGGACCCGGCAGCGGCCTCACCTTGCGGGCGGAGCTGCTCTGCTGAGCCAGGTCCTGCAGGAGGGCGATGAGCAGCTGCTGCGCCCTGGGAGGAGGAGACACCACTGCCAGGAGGCTCCACACCCCTCCCCACCACCCTTGCCCAGCGGCACCTCTGAAACCCTGCAAGCCCGCAGCCCACCGGAGGTGCCCGCTGATATCCTGGGTGTGAGCCTGGGTGGGACGTGGCTCCTGGCCTCCCTGCACCGCTGAGCTGAGCGGCACCACCCCGACACCACGTGTGCGCGCACCGGCTGACCTGGGACATGGCTCCGGCAGACGGATGCTGCTGGGGGGAGGGGGGCGGCCCTGCCCCATCTGTCCCAGGACAGGGTCCCGGGAGGTGGGACTCTCGGTGCTAAAACCAACAGTCCTGGACACACCAGGTGACTGGTGAGCCCACCTCCTGGGGACACTGGCAATGTCTGGAGACACTTTTGGTTTTCACAGGTTGGGGCCAGCATGAGGCCAGGGAGCTGCTCAGGCCGGCGGGCCAGGCAGCCCCCAGCAGAGGGGCTGTCCCCAGGTCGAAGCGCTGGGGCTGGAAACGCTGGCATCGAAAGCTCACAAACAAACCCTGTCCACTTGGGGGGGGCGCACATGGGGATTCCACTCTGGTCGTGTCCCCTCCTCGGGAGGTAGCCACCCAACGGCTGCTCACTGTGCGTAGGTGGGGATGGTGCCGCCCTCCATGTCCCTGGTGCTGTAGGGGCCCACGCGGTGGGCGTGCCAGCAGCCACGGCCTTGGAACATGGTGTCGGTGACGTGCAGGATGTCGCCGCAGTGCACGGGCAGCTCCCCCTCTGCCCGCCCCTCCAGGGCCAGGTTGACCCGGATGTAGAAGGAGTCCCCTGAGGTGGCCACTTTGGCCTCCAGGTCCTGGACCAGCTTCTTATAACCTGGAAAGAGAAGACAGATCAGCCCAGGCCGTGACCCACAAGAGGAAGGTTCTGGAATGTGAAAGGAAGAGGAACAGAAGGTACCGCCCCAAAGTCTTGGGAGCCATCCTGGTGCCAGCGTCAGTGGGTGGGAGGTCCCGGCTGCCTTGGGGGCCTCTGAAGACCAGGGGTGCAGCCTGGCTCTGGGGTAGGCCACTGCTCAGAATCAGGACTGGGCGGCTGGGCAGGTCCTGAGAGGGGAGCTCCTGGGGGTTGGGGGGGGTGCGCCCCCAGCCGCCAGCCGCCCATCAGGGCCTCTGTCCCAGGCCCTGAACCGGGGCATCTGCATTCGGCTCCTCCAAGCCACACACGTTCCCACCCTGAGTCAACCACCACCCCCTTCCCACTCCGTGTTGACCTTCACAGACAGGCAGCAGAAGCCGTCCACCCTGCGGAGAAGACCCACAGCCTGCTCCAGGGTCACGCCCTGCAGGACGGCCTTGAAGAAGGGCTCCGTGGCCTCGCCCAGGCCCTGAACCGGGGCATCTGCATTCGGCTCCTCCAAGCCACACACGTTCCCACCCTGAGTCAACCACCACCCCCTTCCCAACTGCATGCCGAGAGCATCACGCAGGACCCAGAGTCTGCTCTCCAAAATGGACCTTCGTTCTAGAGCGTTCCATATCACAGGTTCACGGCGATGGGATTACTGACACGTGGAGCCCGGTCACTCTGTGCTGTGGGGCCGCCCGGGCCCTGTAGGATGTTAGCAGCATCCCTGGCATCCACCGCGAGCTGCCATCCCCCTCCCCGCCCCCGCCCCTGCGAAAGCTCCTGCTCTCACTGTCCCTCCATTCACTCCCTCGCTGCCTCACGCCGAGAGGGCACTTTGTAAGGAGAATGACCATGTGCCTTTAACTGCACTGGCCCCATTCGGGGCTCAGGACTGTTCCCCAAACACCATAAAGGGCTCTGCGGCTGTAACCACAAGGTAACTGACAACGAGACACGGAGAAAGGGTTCCTGTGGCGTGGGGACGGGGTCTCCTCTGGGGGACAGGCGAGCTTCGGGAACGGTGACGCCAATTTTGTGAATTTCTTACAATGGTTAAAAAGCTGAAAGTTCAAGTTTCAGTGACATCAAAGTCACCTCCCCACTACTGCAGTCACTTAAATAGTTACTAGTTAAGTTGTATATTTATGTTTTCTGCAGCATCATGAATATTTTACAACAAGTTTTAAAGAGTGAAAGTGGTGAATCTCGCGTTCGGTGTATTTGAACACAGACGTGCACGCACACGCACGGGAGCTGACAACGAGACCACTATTCAAACAGCAGGAACAGAGCCCTGAACCTCACCGTGACGATCTGGGTCTGGGCGCAAAAGGCCATCTCGTCGGCCGCTGAGCCAGGGGTGATGCGGTGGATGAAGATGCCCGTGAGGTTCCCGCCGATGACGCTCATCTGCTCCAGCAGTGTGTGCCCCTGGAAGGCCAGCACTGTGACTTGGCTCGGGAGCTTCTGGGCCACCTGCTGC